TTGCTATTTCTACAAAACCACCAATGTCATTTTTCACAGAATTTTAAAAATCTATCACAAAATTTATATAGAATCAAAAAGATCCCAAATCAAGCAAAAAGAACAAAGCCAGAGGCATCACACTACCCAGCTTCAAACTATAATACAAGGCTACAGTAACCAAAACAGCATGGTACTGATAGAAAACACACACACACACACAAGCCAATGGAACAGAATACAGAACCCAGAAACTAAAGCACACACACTCGACTGACCTTCAATGAAGTCAATGATAACAAACAATGGCAAAAGGACTTCCTATTCAATAAATGATGCTGGGATCACTGGCTAGTCATATGCAGAAGATTGAAATTGGACTCCTAGCATTCACCATATGCAATAAATTAACGCAAAATAGATTAAAGACTTAAATGCAAGACCTAAAACTATAAACCCTAGAATAAATCCTAAGAAATACCATTCTGAACATTCGTCTTAGCAAATAATTTATGACTAAATTTCCCAAGGCAACTGCAACAAAAAGAAAAAATTGACACATAGGACCTAATTAAACAAAGGGCTTTTGCACAGCAAAGGAAACTATCAGCAGAGTAAACACATAACATACAGAATTGGGGAAGATATTTGTAAACTATGTATATAACAAAAGTCTAATATTCAGAATGTGTAAAGAACTTGAACAAATCAGCAAGCAAAAGACAACCCTATTAAAAAATGGGCAAATAAAATGAACAGACATGAATCCCACTACTGAGTGCATGGCCAAAGGAAAAGCACTCATTCTATGAAAAAGACACATGCCCTTATAAGTACATCACAGTGCTGTTCACAATAACAAATACATGGAATCAATCAAGATAACCATCAGTGGTAGACTGGATAAAGAAAATGTGGTACATATATACTATGAAATACTACACAGCCATAAAAAAGAATAAAATCATGTATATTGCTGCAATGTGGATCAAGCTCAAAACCATTATCCTCAGTGAACTAATGCAGGAACAGAAAACCAATTATCATATGCCGTCATTTATAAGTGGGAGCTAAACATTGAATACACATGGACGCAAATATGAAAACAACAGATACTGAAGACTGCTTGAAGAGGAAGGATGGGAGGGAGCTATGGTTTAGAAGGCTACCTATCAGATACTATGGTTACTACCTTGGTGAAAGGATAATTTATACACGAATCCTCAGCAACGCAATTTACCCACATAACAAACCTGCACATGTACCCCTGAACCAAAATAAAAGTAAGAGAAAGAAAATGGTTAGGGCTAGTATTAGTATAGGATTAGGGAGATAAAGAAATAGAAGGGTAGTTTAGAGAAGACAATTTGTTAATTTAATTCATTCACCAAATATTTATTGTTGACCCACTGTGTGCCAGACATTATTCTAGGCATGGAGTAGAAAATAAAAAAGAAAATATCCCTGTTTTTATAGCACTTAATATTTTAGTGAGTGATTGAGACAGACAATAAGCAAGAAAGTAAAAATAAACAAGATAAATCTATAAAATATCCAATATAGATTAGGTGTTGGTAATGAGAACATAATGTCAGAAAAGAAGGTAGGGAGTGTTGGTGGGGAGGGTAGGTAGAAATGAAATTTAGACAGGATATTCAGAGAAGGTTTCACAGAGAGAATTATACCTGAGTAAAGACATTAATTGGGAAGGAAACATGCTCTGAACTTCTGAAGCAAGCTCACTATGCACTGATTACCAACTTGTATGACAGAACGTACTCATATGCAAGTTATGTGATATAGATTTATTACTTACAGATAGGCAGCAAGAAACATCAGATGCCTAGGATTCATTGCGAGCTGCTCCCCCAAGTCTTAGAAAGTTGCCTAGGGTAGATGGAGTCTCAAATTCATGCAACCCACTTGGATAGCAGATAAGGGACCCTGGAAAACAGCCTGCCCTGGACGTTATATCCTGGGGTCACATGACTTACTGTGCTAAAGCACTGAAGGACATTCTGTTCTGGTGAGACTGAAACAGAGCCCATGTTCTTCTGGCCAGTCTCTCTCTTTGTCAGTAAGTTACTTTACCAGACCATCATACAGTTGCTGTTGAGAGCTACAAGCAAGAAAGGGAGGAAAACCATCCAAGGTCTTTTGGAGAACTGTCCTGCACAAATCTTGTAGGTAGAGCATTCCAGGTAGAACACACAGCAATTACAAGGACTCAGAGGCAGGGGCATACCTAGCATGTTTGAAGATGTGAGAGAAGGTCAGTATGTCTAGGGTGTAATAATTTAGAGGAAGAGTATTAAGAGATTAAGTCAAAGGAATAAGGGGTGAAATATCACAGGTCAGGTTCCTATATGTGTTTGAAGGCCATTGCAAGGACTTTGGCTTTTACTTTTAGTAATAAGAAAAAAGTCACTGGAACGTTTGATCAGAGGATTGTCATGATCTGACTTCTATTCAAGAGAATTATCATGGCTATTGTGCTGCAAACAGGCTGGGGTGCAGGAAAGATGGACAAAAGGAGAAAGGAGAAAACCAGTTAGAAGACTGTTGCTGTAATCTAGACAGGAGAAGATATATAGTAGATTAGTGCTGTCTAATTCCAGATAAATTTTGAAGATAAATCACCTAAGAGTTGTGAAGGTATGAAGGAAAAAGAGTCAAAAGTGACTCCAAAGTGTTTGACTTAGCAACTAGAAGAATGGAATTTCCATCAGTGTGAGGTAAAATGTGGAAATATAAATCCAGTCTGTGTGAGGAAGGAAACTGTAAGATTTGCCTGGAGTGTAGCCTGGGATCAGTGTCTAGTCCAGAAATGGAAGCAGGATTTCCCATCTTGTATTATGTCAGGATGAAATATGCCAGGTTCTCTAGAGAAACTCTCTACTAGGAGAAATTTAAGGTGTCAGTATTTGGGCCAGAAATCAAGAGGGGATAATAGGCCTCTACAGTTTGGAAAGCCACAAAGCCCCGTGCTATCTTTGGAGAGTTGTCATTGTTGTTTGTTGTTGTTGTTTAAAAAAAAAAAAACACCTTTCATAAAGAAAACATTTTTTTCCAAAATGATAAGCTCTGGCTTTACTTCAGCTCTTTCTTCCACCTTTTTTACCACACTCTTCCTATATGTTTCAACCCTATTCATTCTAGGAAACAGATTTCACTTCCTAGATACTTTTACCCATAATCATGGCCTCTCCCACAGGCAAGGACATTTTCTCCTGTCACTGGGATGACTGCATTCCCTCTTAATGGCCTTGGATACTCCTTGATACTCTTACAGCCATTTTGCGCTTTATACTCCTATAGCCATTTAAACCTTTCTCCACAATGTGGCCAGATTGGTCTTCCTGAAATAGAAATATGATCATGTGTCTCATGTCCCTCCCTAGCTTAAACACTTTAATGAATCCCAAAGGTCTTATGATAAAATGCAGCATTTTTTTTTTTTTTTTTTTTTGGGACAGAGTTTCCCTCTTGTTGCCCAGGCTGGAGTGCAATGGCACAATCTCTGCTCACAGCAACCTCTGCCTTCTGGGTTCAAGAGATTCTCCTGCCTCCACCTCCCGAGTAGCTGGGAGTACAGGTGCACACCACCATACCTGGATAATTTTGTATTCTTAGTAGAGATAGGGTTTTGTCATGTTGGTCAGGCTGTTCTCAAACTCCTGACCTCAGGTGATCCACTAGCCTCGGCCTCCCAAAGTGTTGGGATTACAGGCATGAGCCACCACGTCTAGCCAAAATGCAGCAATCTCAACATGGCTTATCTCTGCCTTCCTCTACCATCTCAGTTCTCTATTTTCTCCTACCTCCTATTCTCTGTGTTGGTCATTCTGATTTCCTTAAAGTTTCCCAAACATAACTATCTCATCCATTACTCTTCAAAAATGCATGGGGCACTCTTTTTCCCCATTTGTCGGCTGATACTTGACCTAATCCTCAGCTTCAGAGACCTTCCATATGTGAGTCACCATTCAGTCATGTCTCAGCACTTGTCAGAACACATTGTAACTGCCTGCTTAGGTAGATGCTCATTTGCCCTCTAGACTCTAAGTAAATGAGAGCAAGCATTTTGTCTATCTTGTTCAGCCTGATCTCCCTCACTCAGAGCAAGTTCTGAGCAGTTAGAAATCACAGGCACTCAGTGCATATTTGTCAAATCAAATACCAATCATGAACTTTAGTTCCTTAATGAAATGTTCCCAAGGACCTTCTATTGGAAAGCATATTTCTCACTCCTTTGGGCCTCTATAGATTTTAGCTTCACATATTTTACAGATTTATTATCTTCTACCTTTCCCTGTATTTACATAATTTATTACTGTTTTTGGACAAGTTTCTTATGTGCAAGCTCCATGTTCAAACCATCTTTTTCTTCTCTCTAGATGATTAATTACAGAGGTTTATGTATATTCTGACTCCAGTAAATGTTTACTGAATTAAATAATGAATTAAATGAGTTTAAATGTTATATTTTATAACTTTCAAATAGGCCAGTTTATGGAGAGCATATGCTTTGAGATTAGAATTACTGGGTGATAAATCTAAATAGATAAATTTATATCAGATGATGGACTATCTAGTATTGCCAAGTAAGATAACGTAATAGTTTAGAAACTGGAGGTTTGTTGAAGATTTCTGAACTGAAAATGTGTAATATCACAGCTGATACTAACAAAATTAATCTGTCCTTAAGAAACGTTTTGTGATACAGAAATACAGTTCTATGCTGCATTCATCCCTAGAGTTTGGTTATGGAAGAAAGTGGATCTTGCTACTGTTGGGGACTCAGATCTTTTTTCAGCATTTTGGAAGAAAAACCTAAATACAGAAGATAACCGTTAGGCTCCCTATGTTGGTACCTGTTCCTCAGTATTACCTCTGGTTCTAACTCTGGTAAAATTGCTCCAGGACATTCTCTAATTCCAGGTAACCCATTATTCAGTACCCAGGGATGTCTTGAGGATAGATTTATATCTCAAAGCTATGCCTAATTTGTTTCCCAACAGGTTCTCTGACTCTGAAAACACATCATGTTCAAGATTCCAAAATGGGATTTGTGATCAACGCCATCTATTCGATGGCCTATGGGCTCCACAACATGCAGATGTCCCTCTGCCCAGGGGTTGCAGGACTCTGTGATGCAATGAAGCCAATTGACGGACGGAAACTTTTGGAATCCCTGATGAAAACCAATTTTACTGGGGTTTCTGGAGATACGATCCTATTTGACGAGAATGGAGACTCTCCAGGAAGGTATTGATACAGTTATCCTCTAGACAGTAGAGGCAGAACAACAGCCAACATTTGATCCTGAAATGTCTTTTTCTCTCCTTTGTGGTTAATCTAGGTTTCCTGGCCAAGTTTTCTCTGCCCTGACATCGCAAATGAGCAAAGATAGAGAGAAGAAGCCCCATTTCTGTGACCAGGAAATAAAGCATTGTTGCTAATGTCCAAAATGTGCTTTGGGAATCGTTATCATATTTCAGAGACCTAAACTAAGAGACAGGAATCTCACATGACCATAGATAAATAGAAATCATCTCTGTGGTTTCTCTGTACATGCCTGTCATGTTATTCCCTGCATTTGGCTATTGTCTTGTGTAACAGAACTATTCTGAAACAGAAACAATTCAGTTTCTGATAATCCAGAAATGGGGCTGAGGGTCTGTTTTGTTGTTTTCTGTTCCTAAAGCGAGTGAGTTATAAGTCATATTTTATTTTATGATTCTTCAGCTGGAGCACTTTCTCCCTTCTTGAGGACTAAATTGTTTTTTTCTCTGAAATTTGACTTTTCATTATTTATAGAGGAGCTTGAGGAAGATAAACTCGTAAGTCAGTTCCCAGAGAAATTACTGAGTAGCCAGGACTTACGAGAATTCACATTTATCTTCTACTCCAAATTCTTAAATGGCTCTACACAGTCATTTAAGAATTATAGACACTTTTAATCTATAAGGAATAATGTCACTGAAATTATATTTGGAGTGGTAGCAGGGCTGAGTTTTACTTGCATCAAAACAATCAGGGTCCTTCGGTCTCTAAGTGCTCTTCTAGCAATAGCTCATACTTAACAACTGTGCTTGGAAAGCTGTCAATACACTCTATTGTTGACCCTGCCAAGAGGTTTCATGAGTCCTCAACAATTCATACCACCTGTGCCCACACGTTCTGTCAGCAACCTTGGTTTAGCACACTTCTATATTCTGATATGAGCTGGAGCTTATCCCAAATGCAGCTGTTACTATCTCATATGCCAGACTTATAAGTGATAGTTCCAGGTGATACAGCCAAGTGAAAACCTAGTTTTTTTTTCTATTCTGCAGACTTGAAGTATTGCTACAACCAGGCTGTTTGCCAAAATAAACTGACTTTTCACATGTTGTTTTCTGCTTTTTGGCTGTTCAGTATATGAGTGTAGAAAAAGATACAAGCATTTTCTCGGAGCCAAACAAAACTTCACAATTGTAAATCTTTTAAGGGCAAGTTGAGCAATGAGCTCATTCTTGAGGCTCCGGTCAAGGCCTGGGCTCAGATATTTGCATACCAATTTGTTATTCCATGTGCATCCCTAGAGTACTGACATTAGCTTGGGACTTGCTGATAGAATTTGATGACTGTAGCTCCACCAGTTCAAGAGTTTTTATGTCAGGTACCCAACCCATTCCACAAACCAGACAGGGAGGAAATGCCTCAGAAGGTCCAGCTCTATCCAGTGGGAAACCTTAATGGATCAGGCCAAACATCGCTGCCTTATTCATAATCCTCCAAATATGTTGTAAAAGGTTCTTAATCTTTTTTGGAACATGAATCCCTTCGAGACTCAGATAAAATGTACATATATTCTTTCAAGAACAATATATTTAAAATTTTGCAAACAATTTCTGGGAATATAGGATTGTCCTGAGTGTATCCTTGTACTATTAAGTTTGAGTATACATTAACCCATTAATAAATGATCAGAGTTGGCCTCTAAGGGCATGAATCAGACTCAGGAACAGGTGATTTACAACTTTTTCTTTCTTCCAATAGTTTAGTTACATTTACACAAAATACATATAACTAGCATATATTGTATGTCCTGAGCCAAATACTAAGCCAAGCACTCTACTTTTTAATCCTATGAGGTATGTATTGTTACCACTCTTTTTTCCAGTTAAAGAAAACCAAGGCTTACAAAAGTTCAATGACTTGCCCAAAGACACAGTCTAGTAAATGATAGAGTCAAAATTTTTACTCTGTCTCCTGGGCTTCAACTTCTATCCCTATACAATAGCCTGCCAATTAGTCAACCAGGATCAGAATTTTTAGAGCACTATATGTTGAGAAATTTATCTGTAGACATTTGGTTATTTTTGTGGAGTAGAAGCCTTCTGCTGGATCAAAGGCATTCCAGGCTGGGTGAGAAACCAAAGGAGGCTGAGCGATTAAGGAATCCTCTAAAATTCCAGAGTTAAATGGGGAGGATGCTAAACAGAGGAAGCTGAGAGAGGTGGCAGCTGACTCCAGCACACACTTGCAGACTGTTGGAAAGTATGTTTTATTCATTGTTTTTAAATCTCACATCTGATTAGCCTACCATCAGTCCCAATACTCTAATGAAAAACATGGTGCCAGGTGTTACAGAATCCAGAATTTTTGAATTTGCAAAAGCTTAAACAATCATATAATGTCCCTAACATAATATGTAACAGAACTCCTTAATAAACACATTAGTATTTCTGCAGCAAAACATACAAATATTCACTTTAATTGTGATAAACAAGACTATAAATAGTCTCACATTAGTTCCAGTCAGATTTCGTCACTAGATAAAGTTCAGGTACTATCACGTTTTGCTCTCAAGTGACTTAGGAAAAAAACCGTAATTTTCAGAGCTTTAATGATTTTACGATTACAGATAAGAAATATGAACCTTTACTATTTTGCCATTAACAGACTAGATCATCAGTCATCAAACTATAATTTGCAAAGCAGGGCAAGTGGAGTCTCCTGCTTGTTTTCATAAGTAAGGTTTTTTGGAACACAGTCACATTCATTCATTTAGGTGCTATAGCTGCTTGTACACAACAATGGCAGGAGTGAGTAGAGACCATCTCCAAACTTAAAATGTTTACCATACATCCCCTCACAGAAAAAGTTTGCTAATCTCTGGTTTAGGGACTCCATTGAGAATTAAAGTTTAAGGCGTGTGGCTGCTGCCTGGAATTGACCATAATTAGGTAGAGGAAACATGGACGGCCAATGTCAGACTGAGTACAACTGACTAATTAAACCATGAAATTAAAGCATTATATTGTGGGATTTGTAAGTATAAGGATGCAAAATATTTTAAAACAATGGTAAAAATAAAACAGAATTTGGAATTGCACAAGGCCAAGTTTCTTACATTTTACACCAAGTGACTCAATATTAACTTTAAGTAGAATAAAAATGCCTATTGTAATCCCTTGAGCAACCACTAGAATTTTAATATAAAGAAGAGTATTTAAAATAGAGATACAAAGAAGAAAGTAAGAAAGATTAACCCAAAATAAGGCAGGAAAAAAAGAACAGAGGAGCCCAACATATGTGGTAAATAGAAAATAGAGGTTAGAACAGTAGAAGTGGCAGATCATGACTTTGCGTGCACACTGACTCTTAATATATGGCCCTGCTCATAGAAGGTTCAAAAACCAACAGATGGTCTGTTTCAATGTCCAGATTTTCCTGGTAAAACCCCTGAGTGTCATAGAAAGGAAGAGACATGCCCAACGTTTCACTGTCAATTAAATAACAGGACAAGGACATTATGCAAATCTCAGGCACAATCATCAAGTTAAACTTTACCTCAGTTTTTTTTTTTATTACATTTGAAGTGGTTCAATGTATTAATATATAGTATAAAAGTGTTCTATTATTAGGTGCCATTCATGTTTTTGGTCAAACTAAAGCTTTACTCTGTGATGATCCAACACTAAAGGTACAGATCATTGCAATTGCTTTGAGAATGGACCAGGGTTTGAGAGTATCTATTATGTCAACCCACAGATAATTTAGCACATGTTTAAGAATTATACTTTTTTATTTTAACCAAAGCACTTTAGCATCAGAATTATCAATTGAGAGAGCCTTAGTAACCACACCAATGCAATACTCTGCAGCCGCCTCCAAGTGATTTTTCACTTTCTCTAACAACCATGTTTCAATCTCTTGAATAAACCTCTGACTATCATCTAAAGACAATCTGCTTGAATTTTCAGAGTTATAGCCATTTAGAAAGTTCCTTATTTCTGTTCAATTGAACACTGCCTTTCTCTAGTTTTCCTTAAGTGTTTTAACAAAACTTTCTGTTGTTGTAATATATTTTATTTTGATTTTGAACAATATATAAAATTTATTTTTAAAATTATTTAGAATATTTAGGTTTAAATTGTGGCCAGTTAAGGAAGAGCAGACATGAGAAGGTAAAGAGTAAGGGGAAGGAAGGGACAGGTATTAAAGAAGACAGATTACATAAACAAATATACTATGCTGAGAAAAACATTTCAGAAGCAGAGAAATATAGAAACCAAGAGGTGCAGTGAGAAAGAAAGGCGAGAGGAGGAAGAGAGAGAGAGAGAGAGAAGAGGAGGAGGAGGATTGAGAAAGAAGAGAAGGGAGGAAGGGATAGATAGGAGGAAGGGAATGGGAAGAAGAAAGAAGAGAAACTGGGCTGGAGATTTATATTAAACTGTCTTGTGACTGGAATAACACACTAATCTTTGCTTCTGACACTGAATATGTGCCACTTGGATCTTTACTAAAGCCATAAAAAAATTAGATAACTGAATTACTGTTATTTGTTGGAAAACAAAATACAGTCTTCTAGATTGACTCATGGCTAAATATTGCAGGAAGTCTTTATGTCTTTTGATTCTTCCCTAAAAGTTACATGTGAGTATGTTTTAAGCATTCACTTTTTTCCCCTTTTGATGGAGAATAAAAGCTATATTCTATCTCTGAAAATTAAAAGGGCTCATACCAACTCACAAGTGAAGGAGAGAATATTCTTTTGTGGTGATACATTCTCATCTATTTTTTTAGTATACTAAAAAAAGATTTGTAAAGCAATGTTCTGTTGTCACAGCCATAGCCGTGAGTGATAATACCTCTTTGTGTTTGTCCTGTAGTAAGAAACAATAACCAGAAATCTAAAGGCTAATTCCAAAGGGAGAGTTCATTACCGCTAATGTAATTATAACATGTTTATGGAGTTGAACTGAAATTAGGGTTTAACTTTCCTTAAAACAAGTTCCCTGACTAATGTGACATTTTCCAATCTATAGAGTTTTCATGTTTATTTTTCAAATATTCTGGATCCTTTGACTTTTTACCATTTGTCATACATAAAGAGGCATGGATATAGAGAAAAAGGACTTCAAATATAAATTGGTTCAAATTTTTACAATATTTAAGCAAGGAAAATACAATCTCTTAGCTCCAGCCAGGATTTGGAACAGTCTAATAAAGAAGAAGGAACCACAGACTTGAAGGCTTACTTTCGGTCCTGGCTCTGACAGTTACATACTCTGCAATCTGTTTGTATTAATTAATCTCACTGACCTTCAGTTCCATTATCTGTAAAATTAACAGTTTGAACTCAACTTTTCAGAGTCACGAATTGCTAGAATTGGGATTGACAGCTCATTTTTTGAGTGAGGAGTGACACCCTCATATCTCTTCATATTAGCAGCAAAGAAACAAGTCTGACATTGATGTTTCTCTTTCTCCCATCTTATAATCTTCAAAGGTTATTTGGTCATAAAAAGTCACCCTTTGAATACTTAAAGCCCATATGTTTCAAGTAGCAAATGTATTTTTACCTCAGTGCTCTGTATTCTAATATATCAACTCATCGCACGCACAGAGGCCATGGAGTAATTGTGACCGAGAGGGATGGAAAGTATCCTATAAACTGGTATTTTTTATTTAGAAGTAGAATTTAGACAGTTACCTCAAATTGTTACTGATTGCCAACATTGCAGGAAAATCCTTAAGTTACTGAACAACTAACAAAACAAGAATGAGGTTATATTCTGAAAAAAAAAAAATCTGCTATAAAAAATGTGATTGGGAATCAAAACAGAATGGCATCATCTATAACATAGGTTTCAATAGATTGACACCAGTTTCGTTCTCAGTATTTCTGTACAGAACACTGGTTTGAGTATAGTAGTCTCGTCACTTGAATCCAGAAGCTAGAACATTTTCCATTCATATCAATTTCCAGATAGCTACACATGCTGAGCATAGGAGGTTGGAGGAGCCATTTATATGTCTGTCTGTCAGTACCATAAGTACTAAGGGGATAAAAAGTATAAAATACTATGTGAACACAGTGTGTACCTGAGTCATACCTATAGAAAGTGAGAGAGTGGTAATATTACTTATCTAATATCCTCAAATTGGATAATTATTTCAGAGGTTGTTCTCTAGAAATCAGCTTAATGATAAGAAAAGGCTTATAAGTAAGCACATTGATTTTCTCTTTTTATATTTCTATACACATACTCAAAAAACAATAGCTAGCAAAGGCTGAGAACTCACAAGGAACTTCTCTCTTCCAGCATTTTTACATTGCATGAGGTGTTTTAGAATCTATTTTCAAACTTTTTTAAACATCACTCTTGAAATTATCTTTATATAATGAATTTAGCCATTGATAATGGATAAAGTAAGAAAGGTAAAACGAAGCCTTCTCTAAATTATCCCTACATCCTCTAAAGCTGAGAGTAAGATTAAAGATTTACAAAATTCCTCACTTGGTTAGTCAATGTAAGTTTTATCATTTCACTTGAATAGAGACAAAAACCTTTCTATCTTTTGTAGAAGTCTAACAGTAGTACTTGTTTAAACTTCTTAAAGTTATTTCGAAACTGTCTTTCATCCTGCTGAGGTCAAGTCACCTTCTCACATGGGATTACTTTCTATTTCAGGTGTAAGCTTGAAAGTAAAAAAATGGTCTCTGCAGAGAAAGTGAAATAGGCAGTTTTTTTGTTGTTATTCTAAGTGTTCTGTGATGGAAAATTCCAGTTTTACTTATATGACATTTTTGGGAAGAAAATATATTGCCTTTTCATAGCTGAATATTTATAGCTTTAGCTGAGTAATTATCATGTTCTTATTCCTAAGGTATGAAATAATGAATTTCAAGGAAATGGGAAAAGATTATTTTGATTACATCAATGTTGGAAGTTGGGACAATGGAGAATTAAAAATGGACGATGATGAAGTATGGTCCAAGAAAAGCAACATCATCAGATCTGTGTGCAGTGAACCATGTGAGAAAGGCCAGATCAAGGTAAAATGGCATCTATATTTCTTTCATTTCTGTTGTAAAGTCAACGGTGTTAACAATCATTGGCTATTTTCTAAAATTTTAGACACTTATTTTACCTTTTATATTGTAAGCTTCTAATGTCAGAAATTCTCACTCAATCCTTGTGAAATCTTGGGTGCAACTCATAGTAGTCTTAGTAGTTGGTTTGATGGAACCAATTGATGAGTCATATTTGCCCACATCCTTTCTACTTAAGCCTTTAAAGACATGGGTTCCTGGGAATAAAGTGCATAGTCAGAAAAAGCATTCATTCTAATTTAGTTAATAAATATTCAAGACAGTTGAGAAGACTAGTTGGCCTGGGCAGCCTACACTTGAAGACGCCCAGAGAACTCCATAGTGACATTGGTTTGGAATCAGACACCGCAATGGAAAAAGCTGAGACACTGTGAAAGTAAACAGAGATAAAGGAGAAGCCAAAACCTAATAAGACTGAAGAGATAGCAGAAGAGGAAGAAACTCTTTTACCTAAAGCTAAACAAATTAGAAAGAAAGCAGAGCCTTCTGTAGTTGATATGAATTATTCAAAATCAAAAAAAGGCAAAAAAGAAAGAGGAGCCATCTCAAGATGGCATTTCTCCTAAAACCAAAAGTTTGAGAAAGAAAAAGGAGCCCAATAAAAGGAAGCTGTTTCTTCTAAAACCAAAAAACTTACAAAAAATGAGGAGCCTTCTGAGAAAGAAATGCATGCTTCTAAGCCCAAGAAGATGAAGAAAGAAAAGGAAATGAATGGAGAAACTGCAGAGAAAAGCCCTAAACTGAAGAATGGATTTCCTCATTCTGAATCTGACTGTAACCCCAATGAAGGGGCCAATGAATAAAGTAACAGTGAAATAGAGCAGGAGATACCTGTGGAACTAAAAGATGGTGCTTTCTCTAATTTTCACGTATCTGAAGAAACTATTAAGCTTCTCAAAGACCAAGGAGTGACCTTCCTATTTCCTATACAAGCAAAGACATTCCATCGTAGTTACAGTGGGAAGGACTTAATTGCACAGGCACAGGCAGGAACTGGGAAGATAGTCTCCTTTGCCATCCCTTTGATTGAGAAACTTCATGGGGAACTGCAAGACAGGAAGAGAGGTTGTCCCCTTCAGGTACTGGTTCTTGCACCTACAAGACAGTTGGCAAATCAAGTAAGCAAAGACTTCAGTGACATCACAAAAAAGCCGTCAGTGGCTTGTTTTTATGGTGGAACTCCTTGTGGAGGTCAATTTGAACACATGAGGAATGGGATTGATATCCTGGTTGGGACACCAGGTTGTATCAAAGTCCACATACAGAATGGCAAACTAGATCTCACCAAACTTAAGGATGTTGTCCTGGATGAAGTTGACCAGATGTTGGATATGGGATTTGCTGAGCAAGTGAAAGAAATTTTAAGTGTAGCATACAAGAAAGATTCTGAAGACAAACCCCAAACATTGCTTGCTTCTGCAGCTTGCCCTCATTGGGTGTTTAATATTGCCAAGAAATACATGAAATCTACATAGGAACAGGTGGACCTGATTGGTAAAAAGACTCAGAAAACAGCAATAACTGAAGAGCATCTGGCTATTAAGTGCCACCAGACTAAGAGGGCAGCAGTTATGGGGATGTCATCTGAGTATATAGTGGTTATCAAGGATGCACTATCATCTTTTGCAAAACCAAGAAAGAAGCCAAGGAGCTGTCCCAGAATTGGGCTATAAAGCAGGATACCCAGTTATTGCATGGAGACATTCCACAGAAGCAAAGGGAAATCACCCAGAAAGGCTTTAGAAATGGTAGTTTTGGAGTTTTGGTGGCAATCAATGTTGCTGAACACGCATTATACATCCCTGAGGTTGATTTGGTTATACAAAGCTCTCCACCAAAGGATCTAGAGTCCTACATTCATCTACCCGAGTGGGCAGGCAGAGCTGGAAGGACAGGGGTGTGCATCTGCCTTTATCAGCACAAGGAAGAATATCAGTTAGAACAAGTGGAGCAAAAGGCAAGAATTAAGCTCAAACTAAGGTGTTCCTCTGCAACGGGAATAATGAAAGCTTCCAGCAAAGATGCCATCAGGCTTTTGGATTCCGTGCCTCCCACTGCCATTAGACACTTCAAGCAATCAGTGGAGAAGCTGATAGAGAAGAAGAGAGCTGGGGAAACTCTGACAGCAGCACTGACCCGTATCTCAGGTGTCATATTCACAGACCAGCGCTCCTTGATCAACTCAAATGTGGGTTTGTGACCACGATCTTGTGGTGCTTAAGTGAAATGCCAAATATTAGCTATGCATGGAAAGAACTTAAAGAGCAGCTGGGTGAGAAGACTGATTCCAAAGTGAAGAGAATGGTTTTTCTCAAAGGAAAGCTGGGTACCTACCGCATCCGTAACAGCAATACAGGAGAAATGTCACGATTCACGACACTGGCAGCGCTCGGTGGCCACAAAGCAACCAGAGCTGGAAGGACCACAGGAAGGATATGGAGGTTCCAGGTGCTAGCGGGACAGAAACAGAAGATTCAGAGGACAACGGGAAGGCAATAGAGGCCTGAGAGGACAGTAATCGAGATATGGCAATGAAAGTAACAGATCCCAAAACAAAGGCCTGAAGTGGAGTTTCAGTAAAGCATTTGGTCAATAATTAAAAATAAAAGATTTATGTAGCAAAAAGAGAATGATGTTTGGCCATATAGAACCGACCATTATTCTTTGTCCAAAGTTAGAACACATTATGCTTTCTTTTGACCATTTGCTGAGTCCTTGTCTCTTTCAGACCCAGACAAGCTTCATCTGATCATTATCATTTATAACTTTATTGCTACTTCTTCTTCAGTTTTTCCTTTTGAAAGGTGTATAAATTCATTACATTTTTATTCTAATGCATTATCTATAGATTAAAAGATAAACTCAAGCATGTATCTGGCTATACTTTGTGAGTTCACCTGTCTTTATACTCAGTATCCCGTAATAGTGTCCTTTCCTAAAATAAATGCCCTAAGGGAGTGTAATAGTCTCTGAAGGACCACTTTGACCCTTTGGAAGTTAAGGTTTCCTCAGCCAACTGCCAGACAGTTTCTCATGTGGTCCTATTATTTGTCAACTGAGACTTAATACTGAGCAATGTGTTGAAACAAGATTTCAAACTTAGCTGAGTTGTAATACAGTCTATACCAGCATATGCTCTAGATTTGGAAGATATAGAATGTTGATATAGATTACCTATACTTATATACATTTTGATATATTTTTAGCTTCTCATTATGATGTGATTCATGCTTCAGTGAATTCTTCACAGAGATTATACATAAAAGTATATTTTAATAGAAATCCAGGGTCTTTAGAAAATTTCAGTATAAGGTGGCTCCATAGCTTTCTTTGTAAGAATGCTGGATAAATAGTTCTTAAATTATAATGCACTAGGAAGAATAACATTATTTACCAAGAAGGACTTAAGGGAGTAGGAGTCACAAATTTGCATTACTGAAGAGTATGTTAAAAACAACAACAACAAAAAAATCACTGGAAATAATCAAATGCAGAAAGGTAATAAATTCATAACTGGAGAGCAAAGAGAAGAACAAGTATGATTTGCATGATAAAGCACTGTTTTAATGGTGAAACTTCACAGATAACTAATATTTCCAGAGGTTACCTTCAAGTGGGCAAGCTGGGTTTTTAGGTAGTCAGTGGCCTAGTTCCTAAAGTCACAGTATAGCATCTGTTTGTTAAACTGAATCTCAGTTGAAAGTTTGTTTTAGCTGCTTGGAGATTTCCTTTTAAGACACACTGTATGTGGTTAAGTTGTTTTGAAGGAATGGAAGAACTTGATGTAGCCCCTGGCCAGCTAACTATGCTTGATTTCTCAGACATTATTTCTCTGGGAAACATTCTACATAGCACAGGAACTTCAGAGTGGCATTTTCTTCTCACCTTAATTTCCAGAGATTCTTTCTGTACTGGGAATCCTGGAACATACTAAGCTAGGAAATTTAAAGCCATGTGGTCTGTCTTGTTTTGATTTACTTACTGTGAACACCAAGAATATTTCTAGGCCCTGGTTTTTCTTGCTTAACGCAATGTTTACCTCTAACTGCCCCTCATTTGATCACCATGTACTAGGGGCTCTGATAGCCAGTTCAGCTCCTAATCCTTTTTCAATTTGAATTTCAGTTCCGTCCTTGAATCCTAACTAGATGTTTCTAGCCCTCTGGTCTCAGAATTCTTCTGGCTTTTATTCCTTGATCTACTTACCAGTGTTATCACTTTACCCTTATTCCTCATGGCTTCCCATCAAACCCTAGGTATTAGGTGAGAGTTTAATTTATTAGATTCTGGTTTTGCCCAAATACTGGGCATGCTTTAATAACAATCAAAGCATTTCATTATTTAGGTAGGCATGGGTACCTTATCAAGCTAATTAAAAGGATATGGTACCCATCCTTTAGAAAAGAACAGCTAAAACCTTGTTGTGGATTATGGATTTAGAGTAAACAAAAATAATCAGGCATAAATTAAGAGTAGGAGGGAAGATTAATAGAAATTAATAGTTAACATTGAAGAGGCAAAAATAAATGAGACATCCTCTATTATCAGAAGATTTACAGTATAAGTGAGGAAAAATATGGACACTGAGAAGCATCATCAGGTAAAATGTTTGTACAAAAAGGAGAGATTTCTTCTGAATAAAATGTCACATTGGACCATAAAAAATGAGTATGATTTCAGGGAGAAAACATTTACATAGAACAATAAAAGAAAAGAGACAAGTCAATTGAAGATTGTCTAGAAACAAGTGAATAATCTAGTGTGCATTTTTCTAAATGGTTACTATAAAAGAGACAGTTGAAATAAGTCGAACCCAGATTTCTGGAGAGTTTTTAACATCATATTAAATACATTGCACTTAATTTTCATTAAACAGGAGTCAGAGAATTCTGACCAAGGTGTTGGCATAAGTTGAGTTGTGGTAAGGAAGATGAATAGAGTTA